TTGATTCTCGATACCAGGAAAACCATTTTGAACGTCTATCCGGAGTCAAGCAAGGAGGAACGGTAGAAGATTACAATACTCTTTTTGTCCAGTTGGCAAGCCAAGTTCCGGGGTTATCGGACGATCATTATATGGGATATTATATGAACGGGCTGAAAGAAGAAATTAAATGTTCGTTGCGTTTACTTCGTCCGGATTGTTTAGAAACGGCCATGGAGTTGGCCCTTGGCGTTGAACATAAACTAATCATTCAGAGCGGAGGAAAAGGAGGATCGGGTTACAATTCCACTGGGTCACGAAGTAGCAGTTATCCACGACCAAACACGGTTTCTCTCTCGGCCACCGCCAGTGGAAGCGCACGAAATTTTGGGAGCAGCATGTCTCGGCCCATGGGACCCACAGCGGGTTCCACACCACCAGTCGCCGAGACTACTACCGGAACATCTGGGCAGCCCACAGAACGTTCCAGATTCACTCGAATACCCCCAAAGGTTTACGATGATTTACGCGCCAGAGGACTATGCTTCAAATGTCGGAAGCCCTACTCTCCAGGACACGAATGCCCGTTAAAACAATTACGGGTGATACTGGTGGATGAAGACGAAGAGTTGGACCTACAGCAACATGATTATTGCGACATAGCAGGACAGGAGGAATTCCCACCCGACGATGACTCTCCCGAGGGACAGGAGGGCGATTTTCCGGTCTATGCTATGGCCGGAATTTTCAGCCCCCAGACTATGCGGCTCCGCGGAACGATTGGAGGGTGCACGGCCACAATATTAATTGACAGCGGTGCCAGTCATAATTTTGTATCTTCTTCTTTGGTATCTCTATTACGCCTTAGAAAGGATAAGACTTGAAGATTCGGAGTACAATTGGGGGATGGGCACCGACAAGAATCTGAAGGAGTATGCCGTCAACTCTCCATTAACTTACCAGGATGTGCTATCAAAACGGATTGTTTTGTCTTTCCCCTGGCTGGAGTGGACCTTATACTGGGCGTGGCTTGGCTGGCAACATTGGGAGAAGTGCGAACCAATTGGAAGGAATTAATCATGCAGTTCAAACTTAATGGCAAGCAGGTAGAATTGCGGGGAGATCCAGCAATGAGTAAGAATGCAGTCAGTTTGAGGACTCTTCTTAAAACAGTCGATAGAGAGTTTAGTGCGGTTGTCCTCGTCAGGGAAACCGGCAAAACAGTGAGGGCATCAATGGAATCATTGGAGGACATTCTCAGCCGACATACGGAAGTATTCACTGAATTACAGGGGCTGCCACCATATCGCACTAGGGACCACCGCATCGAGCTGGTTTCCGGGGCAAAACCAGTTTCCGTACAGCCATATCGGTACGGTCATCTACAGAAGGATGAGATTGAGAGATTAGTTGATGAGATGCTTCAGACCGGCATCATTCAACCCAGTTCCAGTCCATTCTCCAGTCCAGTTCTGTTAGTAAAGAAGAAAGATGGCAGCTGGCGGTTTTGTGTGGATTATAGGGAACTGAATAAATCAACAGTGGCGGATAAGTACCCTATTCCGGTGATCCAGGAGATGTTAGACGAGTTGGCTGGGGTTGTGGTCTTTTCTAAGATCGATTTGCGTTCCGGGTATCACCAGATTAGGGTGGCAGAACCAGACATCCACAAAACCGCCGTCCGGACTCACAGTGGGCATTATGAATTTTTGTTAATGCCATTTGGGCTGACCAATGCACCAGCAACTTTCCAAGCCGTCATGAATGATTTATTTAGACCTTATTTGCGGAAATTTGTACTGGTGTTTTTTGATGACATCTTGGTGTACAGCAAATCATGGGCCAAACACCGAGAACAATTAGACCAAGTATTAGAAATCCTGGAGAAGAATCAGTTCAGAGCAAATAAAAAGAACTGTGCTTTCGGACAACCACAGGTGGAGTACCTCGGTCACATCATCTCTCAAGCAGGGGTAGCCATGGATCCGGCCAAAGTCAGTGCGGTGGTAGATTGGCCTCGACCGAAGACGGCCCAAGAGGTCCGGGGGTTTCTAGGATTGACTGGTTATTACAGAAGGTTCGTGAGAGAATACGGACTGATTGCACGACCTCTTACGGATCTTTTAAAAAAGGAAGCTTTGACTCGTTTTGAGTGGACTGAAAAGGCCGAGAAGGCTTTCCGCCAACTTCAGAAGGCCATGACCGAAGCACCTGTGCTAGCCATGCCCCAGTTTGACCGCCTATTTGTGGTAGAATGTGATGCATCGGGGATAGGGGTTGGAGCGGTTCTTATGCAGGAACGAAGACCAATTGCTTACTTTAGCAAATCGTTAGCTGACCGTACCCTGACTAAATCCGCCTATGAGAGAGAGATGATGGGTTTGGCTTTGGCCGTGCAGCATTGGCGTCCATATTTGATTGGAAGAAAATTCTTAGTACGGACTGATCATCGAAGTCTCAAGCATTTGCTCACTCAGCGCATAGCCACTCCATCTCAGCAAGTTTGGGTGGCAAAGTTGTTAGGTTATGATTTTGAGATCGAATACAAGACTGGTGTTTCTAACAGAGCAGCAGACGCTTTGTCCAGACGAGGAGAGGAAGGGGAATTAGCCGCAATCAGTATTCCTGAATGGATGGGTTTGGCCGACATAGTGGAAGAACAGCAAAAGGATGAGGCTTTAAAGAAAATCTGGGAAACCGTGGCTGTAGATCCGGCAAGAGTAGCCGGTTACGAGGTAATTGGACAGCGGCTGTTTTACAAGGGTCGCTTGGTGCTGCCCGTGGGTTCCCGGTGGATTTCAAAGTTAATAGAGGAATTTCATTCGACGCCTTCAGGAGGTCATGCAGGGGCTTATCGGACATATAGAAGACTTGCAATGAATGTCTGCTGGAAGGGGATGTTCAGACAGGTACGAGATTATGTTGCGCAATGTTTAGTTTGTCAAAAGGCTAAATATGAGACTTTATCACCCGTGGGGTTACTTCAGCCATTACCTATTCCCAACTTAATTTGGGAGGATATTTCTATGGATTTCATCACCGGTTTGCCAAAGTCAAAAGGTTTTACAACAATTCTAGTAGTGGTGGATAGATTGTCGAAATATGGGCACTTCATTCCTCTAAAATGCCCCATAACAGCCCGCTCCGTGGCTGAGGTGTTCTCCAAAGAAGTGGTGAGGTTGCATGGCATTCCACGCTCAATCGTAAGTGACCGGGACTCACTTTTTGTTAGTGCGTTCTGGAAGGAATTATTTAATCTGTCCGGTACACAGCTGAAGTTTAGTTCGGCATATCATCCGGAGACCGATGGGCAGACTGAAGTTTTGAACCGGGTGTTGGAAACCTATCTGCGTTGTTTCACCAGTGAGCAGCCGAGACAATGGATACGTTGGATAAATTGGGCAGAATATTGGTATAATACTGCATTCCAGACGGCAGCTCGACTCTCTCCATTCGAGGTGGTATATGGCCGGCCACCCCCAACGATTCGGAGGTTTATACCTGGAGAAAGCAGAGTGGCAGCCGTAACAGATGAGTTGGGTAGCAGGGATGTGATGTTAAGGCGGTTAAAAGAGAATCTACAAAAGGCACAACAAAGCATGGCAACCCAAGCAAATAAACACCACCGCGACGTGGAATTCCAGGTTGGAGATAAAGTGTTTCTAAAGGTCAGGCCTCATCGGCAAACAACTCTGTCCAGCCAATCATACCATAAGCTATCTGCAAAGTTCTATGGGCCATTTGTGATTGAAGCACGCATTGGGAAGGCAGCCTACCGCTTGACACTGCCAGCAACCAGCCGTATCCATCCGGTCTTCCATGTTTCACAGCTGCGAAAGGTAGTCGGTGATCACCCTGTGGAAAATGAGTTACCCGAAAGCTTGGAACTGCCCGTAGGACCAGTGTTTGAACCTGAGGACATTTTAGCTACCAGAAAAAAAGATGACAAGGAAGAGGAGTTGTTGGTTAAATGGGCTGGACAGTCTACAGACGAGGCAACTTGGGTGAACAAAGCAAGCTTTTCGAGTCAGTTTCCTGATTTGAACCTCGAGGACAAGGTTCTTTCCAAGGAGGGTGAATTTGATAGCGAGCAGGCTCGCTCGACCGAGGAAGAAGAAAGACAGTCGAGTGCGACCGAGGAAGACGAAGGCCCCAGGCCTTGGATCGTGTATCGCAGGCGGGATCGGGAAAAGCCCACATCCGTGGGTTAGGCTGGCTGGAAGAATTAATTGGATTGTTTATTAATTAATTAATTAGTATTGTTTTTTTTTAATAAGTTTCCTAATTCCAGTTTATTTCCTAGTTTATGTTATTTTGGAGTTTTTCTTTAATTAGGACTTGTAGTCTATTTAATCCCCTCAAGAGGGTTATTTCAAACTATGCTTTATTAAATAAGAATTTGTGTGTTTAAGCTCTCAAGCTTTGGCAACGGTTATTTCCGTTGATTGTTATTGTTTGTTTATATTAGTACCCATTGCAGAAATAGTAGGTGTATCAGTGATATTACGAGAAACCTCAGGAGAGAAAGATATTTTCCAAAGAAAAAACAAAGCAGAGAAGGCACAAGCAAACCTTGAGGAAACCAGCTCGTAATTAGGACCAAGAACAGAGTTGCCCTATTCCTTTCAAGAAAATAACTGCACAGAAGATGTTGAAATCATGCAAAAAAAGAATTGTGCATTGGGAACACATGTGCCTCAATTACACAAAGGAAAATACTCACTGACTGAATAGCTTCATTTCCCAGCAGTAAAGAAGGCATTTTGGATACCAGTTCCATCAATAAGCTAAGAAGAACTTTATTTTCATTATATCTAATGAAGTAAAATACAATAGATATAATGATAACAAACTTCTTATTATTAAAAATAACTCTTTTTGGACAAAAACAAGTTTTATTTATGACTACTTTGGGGTGAGCGGGTATGATTTTTATGTTAGCAAAAAACACGTCAGTAAAACAAAGATATTAAATCATGTCATCTCAAACATAACTGAACAGTTGAAAATAAGAGACAGAGAGGAGTGTTCTGTTAAGAGATACTGATTTACTTTTCTTGCTGGTAATAGATATAAGGGAGACAACTTATACACCATAGAAAGTTTGGTAATACAAGAGCTTGTAACTGAAGTTTCTTGATCAGAAAAAACATATGGCGCTAACAAGATGAGGAAATGGATACACAAAAGTAAAATTCACCACAGAATTGTAGTGCAGGTTTGCATTTAAAGTCCAGAAGATCAAACAGCATTCTGCTTACATTTCTCCCCATCCACTACTGCTACGGACATACTTGTCTACAATTCCAAACTCTTTGTTTTGTGCAAGCCTACGGTTGTAGTTTTCAGTTGAAATGTGACCCTTCTTGTACCTCCTATAATAGATGATGTCCCAAGGCCACAACCGAGCACACCCAAAGCAATCTTCTACAGTCAAGTCCTTTTGCATTTGCTCTGGGTGTTCCAATCTGTAGTGTTTTAGAACCATGCCTAACTCCTCTGAAGAAAATTTCAAAGTCGCAGCATTGGACCAGCGCTGAGAAATATGGGTAGCTGGATTCAGTTCTTGAGTCGTTTCATGCTGCTCTGTTAAATTGTTATTATTTTGCAGTTCCCCTGTTTCTACCATATAATCACCAGTGTATGATTCTGAGGCATGTAAATCTACTACCTGAACTGAGTTGTCTGAAATTGCATCAATTTTTGCCTGTGGTTCCCCTTTCAGTTCTTTAGCCGTTTCTTGTTGCTCAGTGAAATTGTTATTATTTTGTCGTTCCCCAGTTTCTACCGTATAATCAGCAGTGTATGATTCTAAGGCATATAAATCTACTACCTTAACGGAGTTGTCTGAAATTGCATGAATTTTTGCTTGTGGTTCCCCTTTCAGTTCTTGAGCCGTTTCATGTTGCTCTGTTAAATTGTTATTATTTTGATGTTCCCCTGTTTCTACCATATAATCACCGGTGTGTGATTCTGAGGCATGTAAATCTACTACCTTAACTGAGTTGTCTGAAATTGCATCAATTTTTGCATGTGGTTCCCCTTTCAGCTCATCTACCTTCAACTCTGGAACCAAATCCTTTTGCTCTGTCCGCATCATATTTGAAGATGAGGATAAACATTTTTCAAGTGATGCACATAGAGTGTCAGAGGTAGGAGAGGTTGACCTTGAACGTATTGTTGAACCAGACCTTAAACTAGAGTATTGGGAATTCCTTCTGGCAAGGGATGGTTTTGGCATTGAATTCGAAGGCTGGGAAAGGGACTTTAATGATCTTGAAAGTGAATGTGATCCAGAAGTGGCATGACCAGAACAGGTTGAATTTGTGACAGGTGCCCGGTCATTCTTTGAGTAATACCTTGTGCTTCCAGTGCTGGGCTTCCTGAACTTGTTTCTCATATAGTTCTTCCTCCCACTTTGATAAGCAGTTCTTTCCGTTGAAGAATCTCTCTGTCTTGACCTGTCTCTTTTTCTTGATCTTTCATCTTCTTTGACATCTACACATGAGTCTGAAGGTAATGTATTGCAACTAGCATTGGAGGGTTCCAGATCTGTTTTCTCTTCTGATCTCCTGGGAGAGGCTGCGTTTTCAATGTTGGTCAGATGATGAAATTCACTTATCTCATCAGCGGAAGAAGGTACATAGCGGTCAAAGTGCAGTCCATCTTCAAGTCCATTTTGATCCAATGATGCACTAACTTTCTCACCTCGCTCACCATTTTGCAGAACAGTTGCCTCTCTCCCTCCACCACTGTCATCAGGAAAACTGTCCACAGAAGTATGAGATTCTTCATACCGATGATGGCTTGCAAGATCATCAACCACCTCAGCATGCACAGTTCTTCCACCATCGGTATCAGCTGACCCAAACCCTCTTTTATGACGTCGGTGACCATTGTGATCAAAATCTCGAGAAAAGCCATCACGTCTTTCACTCTTAGAAAATCTCTGGAAATGCTTTGGTTGAGGCTGCCTATTTGACCATGAAAGAGTTATTTTGTTTCCACAGATGGTCTTGCCTCGAAGCGAGTTCAACGCTTTTTCTGCATTTGCAGGGTAATCATATACAACAAACCCAAACTTGTCTTTCAAACGTACCGTACACCTCCCAAACCTCTGGAAAACATGCTCTAGTTCATCTCTGTGAATATGAGGTGGTATATTACCAAGGTGCAGCGACATCTACAGTAAAAAAACTCAGTTATTTGTATTCTGGGCTGCTTAAAGCCAGCTTTCTTCTATATGCATCATATGTACATCAAAACACCATTGGTGTCTAGATAAATGACTATAAATAATACAATTAGAGAAAGCCCATACTTGCCTACTTCTAAGTTGTAACCTTTAGTTCCATCTAGCTCCACATAAAAAGATGTTAACTAACTCATTTACTACCCAGACATGTGCACATGACCCCAACCTCTTGCAAACAAAATGACACCTTTGAATCACAATAGTTTGAATGAAGAATTAAGTTTTCACAGCAATTTTAAAAAACAATTAACACAATAAGGATCAACATAGCAGCAAAGAATTCATCAACAAATTGCTAATTGTTTTTTGAAGAAATCAAAAGTCTGTTAGAGTCTCAGGAAGTCAACCTTTTGATAATAATAATAATAATAGTATTAGCTATTATGATAAAGTGTATTCCAGAAGGAAAGGGAATAATAAGTAGCTAGCTGAATTGTATTTGGGGGGTCGGGTGGACTTCTATAAATAGATAGCTAAAGGAGGAATAAGGAGGCGGTTATTTGGTATTGGGCTGGGACTGGAGAGTTGACATCTCTTTAACTGTCAGGGCACTTTCTGTTGTTCGAATAACAAATAGTATTCACTGTTCATCTTCGTTCCTATTGTTTGCTAAAATTCTCTCTGTAATTCAGTTAGATACTTAACATTGGTATCAGAGCAACGATCGTGGTACCTGTTTATGGTTGCTATCAGGCGTACGATGGAAGTGAGGTTGGAAAACGTGGAGCACGAGCTGTTTAAGAGTCGCGAGAACATGGTGCGCCAATTGGAGAAGAATCGCGAGAACATGGTGCGCCAATTGGAGAAGAATCGCGAAGAAGCCAAACGAAATAGAGAAGAGTTACGCGAACTCATTCTGCAGCGGAATGATCGCAAATCACGCGAAAGATCAAAAACATCCAGAAAAAGTGCGAGAACTGACAGTGGCGCCTCATCTTTATCTGAAGCGATGCGCGAAGAAGCTCAGCGAACTCGCGATGAGTTGCGCGAGTTACTGCAGCGGAGTGAGAGCCAGTCGCGCGGAAGATCTAAAACAACAAAACGAAGCAAGAGACATGACATTAGCGAATCTTCTTCGTCTTCTTCAGGTAATCACCGCTCTTCTTGGCGAAACAATGATTATAGCAAGTGGATGGAGAAATCTGGAAGGAAAGTAGATTTACCAGTATTCAATGGGGATGAGGTGTATAGATGGATAATTAAGATGGAACGATACTTCCAACTCAACGCTATTGCGGAAAAACATAAGGTTAGAGTCGCAGAAGAAGCAATGGAGGAAAGGGCGTTAGACTGGTTCCAATGGTGGGAAATTGAAACTAGAGAAAAGAATTGGGAAGTTCTGAAGGAAGCTACAATTCGGAGATTCCAACCTACACGCAGGCGGAAGACAGAAAACCGGAAATCATCGCACTCGCAGTCACGCACAGTGTCTACCAGTTCGCAGGTCTCAGTTCGCAAGGCTCAAAGAGCGACTTATCTCAATTCGCAGGTCTCACCGCAGGTTTCATCGCATATTTCCGCTTCTCACAGTCCGCAAGTTGAGTCAGTTTCATTCCCGCAGCAGTCTGGGAGTCAGCAACAACCTAACTCTGAAGATACATTCATCAATGGTGATGAGGAACCAGGGGTAAAAACTTCTGGGGTGATGTACTGGAATCCTTCTGACCCTATTCAACAGTTCTTAACTATGAGGACCACAGATAGTATGCTGAAAGCCGTTGGAGGGAACAACATGGAAGGCCCTATGGGTTCTAATGGAGACTGCCTGGATGCTTCAACTCATGGTCATGGGGTGATTGAGCAAAGGGGAGGAACAAGGAAAGCTGCTGGGGTTAGAAGCTCTGTTTTCACCTTGCCTGATGGAAGTTTCAGCATGGAACTGCCTGAGAAACCAACCCCAATGAGTTTTCCAATGCTCAAAATTTTCCAACTGGAAATATCAGAGATAACTCAAATACAAGCACAACATGGGAATACCATGTTTGATGGGACTCTATATAAACCAGATGAAGCAACGTCGAGACTTCTGTCATATAAAACTATGGTTCATGTATATGGGGGTCCTGGTGTCCAACCTATCAGTGACTCAAGGGCAAACACAATTGTCCTGAAAGCTCAGTTTCTAAGGAGTGTAGGTATCTTAGTTGGGAAGCTCAAGGTTACAGGGGAACCTATACCAGTGAATTGTGGGAAAGGCGTACGTGGTGGGGTTTATGTGTTGGAACAAAGTGGTCCAACTGTAATTGTTGTAGTAATGGTTTCAGATTCTGATATTCCTAAGATTCCCTGGACACACGCAGGCTGAAATCTATACGGGAGAGACACAGTTGTTGGGAGATAAATTTGATCTTGGATACCTGATGTGTAGAATCAGTGTGGACTTGGACCCTGCTATTCAGACTGCTGTGAATGGACTAGAAGCTGAAGCAAATTTCAAACCTTACAAAATGGTCTTAGGTTCCAATAATCCAGAAGTGAAACGTTCCAGTAGTGTTCTTTCACTGGAAACTAAGCTAGCTGAAGATGTTGAAAAGATAGAAGTGGAACTATACTTGCCGGGAAAAATAGTTATGACTTCTTTCTCCTCACTGGAGCTAAGAAAGTTGAATGCAGATCCAGTTAGGGAAGCAATGAGAATTCAAGAATGTTTCTCTCAGGAGCAGTTTGGAACACTGTTCACGCGCTTATCAGAATTGTTTGAAGCAAACAAGAGGAACAGTTTTCTCCTTGAAAAATATTTTGAGGCTAAAAATACTGAGGCTAGAGATATTAAAGATATAGAGCAGATCCACATGGCCCCTATATCAGTTTTCAGAAATGGTGGGAGGGGTATAATTGTGGTTGCTACTCATTCAGGAAGAATCTATATTATATTGGAGGTTGTTTCGGATAGCATACAAAACTGTTCTCATCGAAAAGCATCACCAGATCTTCCTGCAATTATAGATGGCCTGGCCCTTGAGATTGGCTCAGTAGGGGTTGTAGCACTTGGTGCTGGCCAGGTTTTAGTGAAACATGTAACCATGCCCTTGCCTCAGCTGCTTGCTATGGTAAAAGTGATGGAAAGGGTTCAGTTCATGAAGTTCAGGGTCCTGAAATTTGGAAGATACTGGGAAGGACGAGGCGCTAAGATGAGGAAGAAGCTGTTCGTCAGGACTATATCCTATGACCCACCTTGAGGACAAGGTGGTTGTTCCAGGGGGGAGTGATGTTAGAGTCTCAGGAAGTCAACCTTTTGATAATAATAATAATAATAGTATTAGCTATTATGATAAAGTGTATTCCAGAAGGAAAGGGAATAATAAGTAGCTAGCTGAATTGTATTTGGGGGGTCGGGTGGACTTCTATAAATAGATAGCTAAAGGAGGAATAAGGAGGCGGTTATTTGGTATTGGGCTGGGACTGGAGAGTTGACATCTCTTTAACTGTCAGGGCACTTTCTGTTGTTCGAATAACAAATAGTATTCACTGTTCATCTTCGTTCCTATTGTTTGCTAGAATTCTCTCTGTAATTCAGTTAGATACTTAACATTTGAAGCGCAGTACCTTGAGAAGGATCCTAGCATACCTATAACAGTATAACTTTGATACGTTTGAGCCAAAATAGGATTAACATTGGCGCATATGAGCATAACATTCATCACCAAACTATTACTCCCTCCATCCCGGAATATGGTTCTTGTTTGGGTTTGCCACACGTATTAAAAACTTGGTTGAAAAGTATCAGAATGTGAAGGAGATTTGGTAGAAATGAGTGAAATGATAACCACATACTTCTTTCATAAAGAGGAAACAATGAGATAATTTACCTAAAAGGAAAACATGAAGTTTATTTCGGGACGGAAAGAGTACTACTTTCCCATCAAAGAAATTTAAACTTTTATTAGCAAAATAGCAAATACACTGTGACAAAAGTATGCATTTCCCAGGCAATGCTTTCTGCAAAGAAATCAGTAACTGTGCGAAGTATAAGATTAATTTACAAGTTAGATAAAGTCTTTCAAAACTAAAAAAACATATCAGTACATTGATGCAAATGTAGTTTCCACATGCAAGCTATGTTAGTATGTTTACTTTAAACCCAAAGGCGGGAGAGGGTGGTGATGGGGATATTTCAAATAGAAGGAAAGGAAAAAGGGCGAACATATGATCAACTACGAAGTTAAGTGCCATTACTACCATATCATAATCTCATATACAAGTTTTATATGAACTATGCACTTGCTCTACATGTTAAGATTTTATAAATTTTTATGTAGCCACAGTCAGTCTAGGTTTATGGTTTTGCATCTATCTTTCCCCTCACAATTATTGTGCTTTAGTGTTAAAGTTTCTCTTACAGCGTAACAACAAGTGTATATGATAGCGAAATAAAGTGAAATCAAGATGATGCAAAGAATTGACCTGGCATCGTGACCCAACTGTTCTTGTTCATTTATAAAGGTATGCTGAGAGCTTATTTGCCTGTTTACTATGAAAAGGATCTACTTAATTCAAGCAATACAGTTCCTTACTGGTAAATGCTTCAGAAATGTCCAATTTATCAATTGTATTATATGCATATATCATTGCCATTGTTTGAAATGGGTGAACAACAGCACAAGTCCTTTGGGTTAAGTATCACATTTGTTGCTTAGAGACTGAATTAAGCTGTGATGAAGCTGGACTCAAGGGTAAAAGTCCTGCTTTATTGTCTGTTCTATTGTTTTTTTTTTCAAGAAATGAAATTTTATTTAAAAAGCCAGAAAGAGTACATAAGGGAAAAGGATCATTTTCATCATTTTCATTTACCCCAGTGCCGCAAAGGCTCCCACCTACGGTGGGGTAAGGGGGGGTCGGATGTACGCAGTCTTACCCCTATACTAAAGCACAGAGAGACTGTTTCCGGATGACCCATAGTGAAAATCGCGTCCAAAATTGCATGGACTGACTGCTGCTTCATTACAAAGAAGCGCAGACAGTTTACTGAGCCATTTTGCTTTATTCCATCATAATCTCAAGCCAAAAAATAATGAATCTTTGGCTCCATTGCAAATGATGGAAAACATAAGGGAAAAGGATAAAAATAAAAAAAAAATATAGTGAAAAAATACAAATATTACCCAACCCAGAGTCCTTTATCCCTATATAACCCAAGTGATCTCACAAATCTTCAAAGTCCCACACGTGCTTGAGATATAGTCCTCATAAGATGTGATCGTTGATTCTTCTTCCTGTACATTTTTGTTTGAGTATTTAAATTCCCAGTAGGCAAACAATTTTCTCTCGTCACAAACAAAGCTTTTTCACAAATATTCCGATTTTCATCGGAATCCCAAAGATCCTCAACCATCAAAATAGGAACTCTCTTCTCATTCTCCGAGATGTGACCAAGAAATTCATCCCCTGAGTATGTATCAAAAGGGTCGCCAAAAATTCCCTCAAAAGTAGAAGCTTCGTGATCATAGGTTTGACCGATCGTTGGCTCTGGTGCCTTTAACTTCTCATGAGCATCTTCCTTCAAAGCCACCCGTGCATCAGTGCCTCTCCTTTCATCATTAGAACATGTCTTCAGATCATCCCATTTACCCAAAATAGAGACAAGAGTTTTTTCGAAATCTTTGATCAGAAAAAGAGAAAGCAAGTTCACTCCATTGGTCATAATATTTTGGAAAAAGTCCTTAAGGGAATCAAACCCAGAATTAGGGGTGCGACTACCCTCAACAGAAATCAACTCCATGGATTTGTCACAAGAATTTGTGTGTTCTATATCAACTTGTAGCAAAGCTCCCGAAATAGAAAAGTCATTTTTATCACGATGTGAATTATCACTACCCAAACAAAGGGGAAGGAAATCACCTGATGAGACATTTCCCGTTGCCGTTTCTAGTGCCTGTGGACGGGTTGATTTCGGTAGTCGGTTTATAGCTCGAGAAAGACCTTCTTTAAACCTAATGATGCCAAATCCCTTTTTGCTCTCCGGGATAAACAAAGAACTAGTACCCGAAAAAACTCTAACAAATCCCACAAAATGATGCTATCAAAAATGATAGTACAGAATTTGTTAGTTAGTGATTTTCCGGAGACAAGCTTTTTGCAAAGATTCACTCAAAATTGCTATTTGTTCTATTGTTTTGTGTGTGTGTTCGTGTTTTGGTGGTTGGGATGATAAGAACATTCTCTATATGAATTTTAAATTTGGCATGTCCCTTGGTCTTTGTATGGTGTTGTTTGTGAACTTCATCCTCCTTGAAGAATTAGGTCTACAAAAACATAAATAGATGAACGTTTATGTTACCTCTCATTTACTTATAGACTGATTTCAGGATTCAAATTCATGATCTAGTTGTCACACAAAATTTCCCTCAATAGGATAAAAAACTATATGAAATTTGAATTTTACATGGTTTTTAGTTTTTACTCCTATTTCAGGAAGTTTCCCAATTGTCAATTAATGCTAAATGGGAAGTGGAGATTTATCAAAGTAAAGGCCATATGGAAATCCAAAATCAACCAGAAAAGTTCAAATAAAGGTTGGCCATAAAAACCTGTTCTGTAGCAAGCATGATACCTCTTTATGTGACCGAATTAAGGAAATTTGTCTAGAAAAGTGAATTCACACCACAATCTAAGGCTACAAATACTAGATTCACGTAGTTAGTAATCAAATTTGATCGTGATGAGTCAGATTAGTATTGATGGCATCCCTCGTTTATAGTAATAGTGGACACTGGACAGCTTATGTGGCTTGAATTTTTAGCCACCGTTATGGTGGCGTTACCGATTCTGTGAACTTGTTCCTCAAACACAAAACTCAATTGAAAACTAATAAACATCATTCGACCTCGCGTGGACTAATTTCTTCATTACCTCCGATGCTCTATCTCATGCCTACCATGCCTTGTGAGTTCATGAGTTCGACATATAGCTTGATTGTGTCTAGCCTCTGGACCAACTCTGGCTTGATGATTTCTTCCTAACGTTTCATGTCACTTTGGGTTCCGTACTCTTATTTCCAACACTGATTTTTGTATCATGGCAAAAAAACAGCTGCATTTGCTGTATCCTTTCTGTCCCTTATCATTAGTGGAAGATAGCAACAATATTACTTTTCTGGCCATCCCACATTGTCCCTTAATATTTTGATTGTCCGGTTATCCCTCCACACACGGTTTTCTGACAATGCCTTTGCCTTTGGTGCAAGTTTCCAATTTGGAAAGAGCCACATTATTAGTCACACTGCTATTTCTTTTGTTCATTTAGCAGTATCAACACTAATGGCTGGACAGATACTTGTGGAATGCAGGGCTTCTACTTTGTAACCTTCAGTCGTTATATTTGTGCTCTCATCCTCAGATAAGATTCCATATATACTTGAGAATTATTCCAAAAAAACAAGGAATTACTCTCTAACAATGTTCCAAAACCAAAAAAAGAAGATGGAAATGAACCCTATTAGCCCTATACGAAGTTTGTGGACAAGTCATTGTCTAAGAATGAGTAAGGAATATCTCTCTTTCTGCTAAACAAGAGGTATTGAACTCATAATTTATTGAGGAGAGAGGGCATTTTAGCATGAAACAGAGAGATTGAACAGCAGCCATGTCTATTTTACTGTATAACTATGAGAGCAGGTGGTGCCATTTAGGGATGGTCTGGGCCCCGGCGACCCGGCCCAACCCCGACCCGTTACTGTTTAGGCCCGACCCGGTAGTTATGAGGGGCGGGCTTGGGGTTCGATTTTTGAATTAAATAGTGCAGGGGCTTGGCCCAACTGCACTATTTTTTTAAATTAAATGGGTGGTAGCGAGACGGGCCCGGCACGGCCCAGTACTGTTTGGGACAGGACCGGAACCGGTACCGCAGCAAACCGGGCTGGTACTGGGAAGCATTCATTATTGGACAACATGACATTTAGATGATTTCTCTTTCCTTTCTCCCAATCATATCTTTCCAAGCAACAATTTCTCGGTTCATATCAAACTTGTGACACCTCAAACGCAAAACCCTACGACCTAAAGAGTAATATATTTTATGCAATGAAATTTCGAGCTTTTGACTAAAACCTTCTTCCTATAATCGCATCCAAAACAATGATATCAACATCTCAGAAGCAGATTTCAGAAAATTGAAAAGAGTATTTTTCGCAACATCAGATAATATTAGTTGCAGCTGTAGATACATACCAACAGCTCTATTAAGAAGCTCTATGCCTCTATAGGCACCATCAAACAAACGCAATACATTTATGTATAAACACACATAGCCATTTGAGAGAAGGGTCTATGGAAGGAGGGATTACCGGAAAACGAAAACGGTCGAGGGGAAGACGCTCCGTCGCTCCGACTGTATCTTTACGGCGTCACTGGCTCACTGCTCCCGACTGGAAAAGTAAGGAAAATGTCTGCCCCTCTCCTGGGTTGGGTTTTTTATGCAAAAGAGAGATTCTAAAAACATAAACGGCAAATCGGCAATGGCTCAAGGGGAAAAGGAAAGGGAAAATGCTAATGGCTGATTGGCCCCTATATTTTGTTCTCCTTTCAATGATTTCCAAGGTATTTTTTTAGAGATTTGGGGGAGATATCGAAAATATATATCATTTTTACCTCACGTCTAATATGTGATCATAAATGGAGCAACTCATTTAAATGGGACACTACTTAACTTTTAATCCTTTAGCATTTGTGATGTGTATTTTTTCAGTCTTACCTTTTAATCCGACCATATATATCTTGGGAATGTTATTCAAATTTTTATAGTTGTTTCTTAGCTACTACTCTCACAATTTATGTCTCACAAAAACAATAATTTTTGTTATGTCAATTTTTTTAGAATTATTAGTTTAATAGATACTATCTAAGTATCTATTACCAAATTCACAAATCTATTATATTTTTTTAATTTTTACACAAAAAAGCTCAAGCTTCACGTTTTCAAAATTATGAATTTATGTCAATCAATATCAATACTTTTTATATGCTTGTATTGAATAGTATAATTTTTATAATTATTTAGTTCTACTTTTCTTCATGAATTGGTAAGAAAATAAATCAAATTTAAAAAAGTAATCTTATACGGAGTATAATGATTTATAGTTGAACTAGTTTTTCACTCGTGTGTTGCACGGGATATCAATCTAATTGCAAAGTTTTGGAATGTGCTATTTTAACCATTAATCTTAATCCCCCCCCCCCCCTCAAGAGTCATATTCCATTGCCAATTCAACACAACATTCCACGACATAGTATCAAGTTAGGCAAGCTTCTCAACAACAACAACAACAACAACAACAACAACAACATACAAGCCTTAGTCCCAAAAGATATTGGGATCGGCTAACATGAATCGATACATGATATCACAACCAAAAGGAAAAGAAAGAAAAAAAAAAGAAAAAAAAATAAACTATTATAAAAAGATAATATAAAAAGAGATGAATATACATAAAAATGATAAAATAAAAAGGCTACAAATAATGCTTATATATATAAGGATAAAAAACAAGGAAAAAAAAGATGAGGGAAAAAGATTATACGAGATCACTCCTTCACCCGAATACCCGCCCTCCACTTAGTTCTCTCCAAAGTCATGCCCTCATCCAACCCCAGAAGAAGCATATCACTTCGAACTCCCCTAACCCACGTCTGTTTGGGTCTTCCTCTCCCTCTCTTCCCTGCCTCTTCTCCACACATCTCAACTCATCTGACAGGTGCATCACTCGGTCTTCTACGCACATGACCAAACCACCGTAGGCCCGACTCCCGCATCTTGTCTTCAATAGGTGCTGATGGATAGTCTACCCGGGGGTATGTATCCGAAGGGTTACTGCGGGGAGTAACTAGAGAGAATTCAGAGCAAAAGTAAGAGAGAGTGTGTGTATTGCTGAGAATGTAATGAGCGATTTTAGCTTAGGTTACAAATGGGGAAAAGGGGCGCTATTTATAGTAGTAATAAATGCCAGATCGGGACACGTGTCAAGCATCCAGTGGCCGAGGGGTCACATCAACTGGTTGGCGCTGGCAATCGCATGTGGCCGCATTTAATGCGGCTGTTGGATGTGACGTCGTACTTGGTACGGTGATTCAGGCGCATGTGGAGAGGATATTATGTCGAGAAAGGTGCCCTCGACTGTAGATGATTAGCCGAAGGCTCTGAGTACCGGGGACCCCCTAGTGCCGAGGGCTCTAGGTGCCGAGGGCGACTGATTTTCGCCGTTTTCTCCCAGTAACTTTGTTTGCTTGAGTTGGTTATCCTGCGAGAATTTGGAGCCCTCGGCCAGGGGGCCGAAGGCACCCCCAGTGTGTCATGTGGGTTGCTCAGTACTTGGGGTGCTGTGATTTGGGCCTCCTGTGCTTCCTGGGCCTATTGGGCCTCCCTTAGAATAGTAGGAGTCTATGGGTCGGGGGTTCCTGGGCCATATACTCCATCAGGAGTCCCTCACTCCTTTTGTCGAAAGGTACTTGAGGGAAAGGAGTAATCTGTGTTTGTCCTTTGGTGTTGTCCCGTTGTAAAGTTTGTGAGTAGTTTGTTGTGTGCATGTTTCAGCCGAGGGCAGTCCCTCAGTTACCCACATTCCGGGACTTGAGGGATCATGCTCGTTGTTGTGGGAGTTTTAGACATTTTTTGTATTTTGAGATTTTCCCGGAAGGGGTCCTCCAGTCCCCCACTCCTTGAGGCACTTACAAAGTGGTGAAAAGGAGTAGAGCAGTGCCTGCCTGTAATGTGAAGCCGAGGGGTGACGCTTTTCGTTTCATTTGGGGGGATGCCTCGTTAAAAACCTCATTGGAAAAAACCTTCTGGGAAAAAATTCTAATGAGGGAAAAAAAGTGCACCGAATTCCCCCAATGATGAGTCGAAAAGGTAAAACCCTGGTCTGAAATGAGTGGCAGTATTCTTGCAGAAGGCTATCCTTGTCTGAAGGCGCGTGTGTTGCTTTGCCGAAGGCTAGCTGTTGTTATCCTGAGAGATGCCAAAGGGGGAGCCCTCAAATTATGAGGGTGTGCTCCCCGGGGGTTACGTGGTCCTCAATGTGTTTGAGGGTTGAGTGTTCCCGAGGGGTGCGCCCATTGTGAAGCTGTGGGCTTCTGAAGGAGTGAGACCGAAGGCATTTGTGATGTATCATGGGGGGTATTGGCCGGGAGCACTTCTGGGTAAGTGTACCCGGAAGCTCCTCTTGATGAAGTGGAGTGAAGGAGAAAGGCCGGGGGCTGGTTTTTTGGTTGCTGAAGGAGTGGTCTGCCGAGGGCACGGTCTTGGTTCCCGAAATATAGCCGTTGTAATAGAGCCGTTGGAATATGTAACGCCAGAGATATAGCCGTTGGAGGGGGGCCTCCACGTGGCGTGTGTTCGTTGGCTGCCTGTGGGCGGGCGTCACTGATTGGGCAATTCGACGGTTCATAATGATGGCTTTTCAATCGGAGGCCCGGTTTCCGGCCCAAGCCCAGATTTGGGCGCCTATAAATACCCCAAAGGCCAGGGTCATTTCCCCCCTGTGCGATTTCAGTGTAGCGAAGCTCTGCCGAATTTTCTAGAGAGAGAAACACCTCCCTTCGATCAACCAGTCTCCCGAGGTCAGTTCTCCACCCATCTGTTGTCATATTAGCGAGTTGTAGCTCTGTGGCCTTTGGTTAAGCGTTTAATCACCTTAGGAAACCTCCCGCCTTAAAAACCCCTCATCCCTTAGCTGTTGAGGATGTCTTCGCAAAGTGATTCTCAAAACGTTTCGAAAGAGCCTCCGGTAGAGGTCGAGAGTTTCTCTAAGGCGGAGTCCTCGAGCGAACGCACCTCGGTCAACCAGGACCTTGCGGTGGCTGAGGAGGTACAAACAAGCCTTCGGCTTGAGTTGGAAGCGGAAGAGTTCGAGCAGGTGTGCGAGGATGAGGAGCTGGCACTTGCTTTTCAAGTGGCTGAGGATGAGGCCCAAAAGGAAAGCCTGAAGGTCACTATCGATGTTCCTCCCCCTCGGAATGCAGAGGCTGGAAGCTCTCAGCCATTGAACCCGACACCCATCAGCGTGGCCCCCGGGAGGAAGAGAAAGGCGAAGGCCACCGCGAGGAAAAAACAGGCTGCCGTCGACGCTGGGCAGCCAGTAGGAATTCCGGAAGGCTATTCCTACCTTAACACTGCTGCCTTGGACGTGAAGACCCGAGCCACACGGGGAGAATATATGGCGACGCAGCTCTTGGTAGGGCCCTCGGCACAGGTAGTGGAGCCGGGCCAGATGATGTTTTGTTATACGCTCCCGCCGGTTGCTTTGCCGTGCATATACTCTCGGTAGAGTTGGGCCTCCGATTCCCCCTCCATCCCTTCGTGGTGGAGTACCTTCAGTTTGTCAAACTTGCTCCCTGCCAATTGACCCCGAACAGGCATTCCTACTTGGCTGGCTTTCTTTCCCTCTGCCGGAGCCGGGATGTGGAGCCTTCTCTAGACCAATTCTTCCTCTCCTTCAACCTGTGCCGGGGGGGGGGGGGGGGGGGCATTCGAATGTCGGGGGCTTCGCCAACCTGCAGCAGCTCCCTGAATTCAGGCTCTTTGACGATGTCCCTTCGTCTCACAAGGGATGGAAAGACAAGTTCTGCTACGTTCGGATGGCGGAGAATCCCTTCTCGGCCCCACTCCGTGATAGCTTCCGAAGGCACGTCAAGGTAGGGAGCGCCGTCTTGGAGAAAAAGGGGAGGAAGCTCTCCAAGAAGCCCGAGGGGTTTGAGAAGCATACCAAGATCAGGGATGCTACCCTTCTAGACGATCTTTACGACCTGGGCTTCCGGTGGTATCGGCTGATTGGGGAAAGCGACGAGAGATATCCCCCCGTTGATAGGTATATCAAAGCGTCGGGGGTAGTTAACTTGTCGAGGGCTCCCATTTCATATTTAGAATTTTTTTTTCCTTTCTTTTTTTTAGTGTTATCCTCCTAACCCTTCTATATTTCCCTTACTTTTCAGGACCAGACATGGACGCCAGGAATCTTTCAAAATTGAAAAAACAGCTTGCTAAGGAGAACAAGAAGAAGGACCCCCCGGTGCAACAGCGGGCGGTGGATGAGATCTTCCCGAGGGCGGGGACAGCCGACGGGGCCAAGGAGACCGTGCCCAAGGATAAGGATGCCACCGACGACAATGTCGGTTCCACAGTCGAGGGATCCCCTGTTGAGGAGCTGAAGAGGAAACGGGCCGGGAAGGCCGTGGTGCCCCCGGAGGGGAAGAAGCAGAAAAGGGGGGGCCTCGAGATGAAGGAGGCCCAGTTGTTATTGTCGAGGAGCATTCCTCCTCCGAGCCCCCGGTCCAAGCCCCCGGGCTGGCATGGCCCCAAGATAATGTGCAGTTCTCCATTACCAAGGGGGCTGCCATTATGCATGCGACGTTGAACCCGAGGGAGTTCTTGAGGGGTGCCACCCCCCGACGGATAAGTCTGTGCTCTCCCGACAAGCCAATGATGCCCTCTGTTCCAAGATCCTTCAGGCCTCGGTCACTGTAAGTTCCCTTTTCCTTCTTCCTTTTTTTTGTGCGTAGTGGTTTTAACCTTCGGTGCTTCATGATCCCTCTTGCAGGCAAGCCTCGGCCTTGGTGAACTCACCCAGAGGATGGAACGTTATGCCCTTCAGAAGCAGAAGGATGATGAAGCCTTGGCTGTGGCCCAAAGGCGGCTTTGGGAGGCAGAGGAGGCTTCCAGAGTTGAGAGGGCGGCCTTCGAAAAAATCCTTGAAAATGCCAAGGTACTGGCAAAAGCCGAGGGGAGGGCTGAGGCTGAGAAGGCAGCCGCTGAGTCCGCTAAGAAGGCTGCTGAAGATGCCGAGATTGCCAAGAAGGAGGCGGTGGGGGAAGCGGTGGCCGCCTTCGTCGCCGAGGTATGGAAAGTCGAGGCCCAGAAAGCGTGGGTGGCTGCGGTTGTTGAGGCCTCCATAGAGGAATGGGTGAGAGGCCCCGGGGTGATGTGGCTGGCCCAGAAGGGGAAAGAATATTATGATGGGAGTGAGTACTTCACTCAAGCCCTCATCTACCGGAGGCTGGCCAGGCATCTGGGAACAGACCCGTCAGCATTTGACCCGGAGGCTTATGGGCTCCCCCCTCTTCAGCCAGACACCAGAGTTCCCCTCCCCGAGGGCATTGACAGGCCAGATCTCGAGGACACCGTCCTGATGGCGGAATGTAGTGACGAAGAAGAAGATGTTGTGGGTGATGCTACGTCGAAGCCTGCCGACGGAGGCGATGCTGCTGTCAATGATGATGTCGTTATTGTGTAGTCTTTAAAAAATTCTTCTCCTTTTTTTTGTAACGAACATGTACAGCCTTCCGGCTTCGGCCTTTATGTATGGCGATTTGCCTCTTTTTTTTGTGAATTGATGAAGGGATGCCTTCGGGCTTTTTGCATATGATCTGCCTTTCTCTTTGAATGCATGCCTCTGTCTTTTCTTTGTGAATGAATGTATGTTTGTGCGGTATTCTGGACGAGGGGCCAACTTTTAGGACTTAGAAAATATTTTTCTAAGTATAGTGCCTCCCATAGCCGTCGGCTACTAGGCCCGTTTAGTCATCTGAATATTTCACCGAGGGCCAACGTCCAGGACTTAGAAAAATTTTCTAAGTGTTGTTCATCTGTCGGCCCTTGGCTAATTCCTTCCCTCTGATTCTGTGTAGCCTTCATGAGATGACCGGAGGCTAAGCGCTTAAGACTTAGAAAATTTTTCTAAGTGTTTGGATATCGTCTGGCCTTCGGTATGTGGGCATTCTTTGCCGCATCGATACATGACCGAGGGCCCAAAATATTTAGGACTTAGAAAATTTTTCTAAGTGTAGTTCTATGAGATAGAGGCCCTTCGGATGATCGTGAGAGCCTTGTCGTAGCGCACCTTCGGCTGAATGATAAAGGGCCCAGCACTTTAGGACTTAGAAATTTTCCTAAGTGTTTTGGACATCATCTGGCCTTCGGTATGAGGAGCCCTCGGGTTTGCAGAATTTTAGGTGGCCTCCTCCTCGGTCATGCGGTAGTCCCGAGGGCACCCAATCTTGTAGACTTGGAAAAAATCCTCGGCCTGTGAGACCGGCCCTCGGTGAGTAGTAGTAGTTGCTAGCGATCTATGTTGATCATAAGAGCCTTCGGCGTTCCTTGAAATGTTGTTGGGTGGACTTGACCGATTATATCCCTTTTATAGGATTAGAGCCTTCGGCTTCAGTGACTTGTCCATTTGTTGAAGTTTGTGTACTCATTGATTTCTCGCTGAGCCTACTCCCCTTCACCCCCCTTTTTTTTGAGTAGTGAAGGGAAGGCTTCAAGAAACTTGGTTTCTTGGTAAGGCTTGGCCTATCGGGAGGTAATAGAATACACCATTAGCTCCCCCTCGGGTTAACCTCCCGAGTTCCGAGGGGATCGAGGGTCGTTTCTTGGGCACAAGACATTGTCTGTAGCCTGCCTCCCCTTGGGGGATGGAACGGAAAGTGCCTCAGTTTGAAAGTCGTCCCCTCGACGCCAGACATAGTCCGTGGCCTGCCACACCCTTGGGGTAGTGGCGCGGGGAGCGTTTCAATTTGGAAGTCGAATCCTAGGCATATTAGATGCCTGCCAATCCCTGCAGGAAATGGCGCGGAAAGCGTTCCTGTTGGTCCCGGTTGTACTGGATACAGTCTAGAGAGGGTGAATAGACTGTATTGGTTTTTAACTTTTTCAAGCTAAGTACCAGGTTTAACAGAATAGCATGTTCTGTTGGCAGAACAGACTGGCAGTGGATGGGGTTCTGATAGGGAGTTCTGTTAGTTTAGCCTCAGAGAAGCAAAGGCAATAGGCCTTCTGTTAACTCACAAGACAAGTTCTGCTGAACACAGATGCCAAGTCTTTGGAGTTAAACAGTTCAAATAAAAACTATAAGTAAAATGCAGTAAGTAAATGACACCAGGGCTTTTTATAGTGGTTCAAGGAACAACTTGTTCCTCTAGTCCACTGTTCCACTAAGCTTGTAAAAATGACCGTTTACAACGCCTTAGCCCTATCACTTACGAAGCTCTCCACGTCTTCTTCAAGTGTAGATGTCTCCTTGGATGCACTTCTGGCTTCCTTAAGACTGGTCCTTTCACTGAGCTTTCCCGGAAGTATCACCACTTCACTGCTCCAGGTACTTGGACGTCCTTCTTGTGAAAGAAGAGTTTCTGTTGAAAACAGGGGTTCCTCCAACTTTCTTCGTTACAAAAGGTTTGTATATGAAGAGCTTGAAGAGTTGAAGAACGCTCAGAACTTTGCTTGAGTTGGAAGTAAGAATCTTTCCAACGTCAGCATTCTCTTGTAGAAGATAATGAAGATTTAATCTCAAGGAGGCTTTTTGCGTTTTTAGCGTTTGAATATTTTGTATGCGCAAAAGTTGTAGCAAAGTTATCCGGTTGTTCTTCGTAGTGTATCTTTTATACTGAGGTTGTCTTCCCGTTGGAGGAGAAGGAGGACAACTGCATTAAATGAGCGAGCAGTTGACTTGACCAGTAGGACCCGGCAAAGTTGGCGGGTTACTATTTTGGGATAAAGTTATCCTGACATTGCGGCCAATCATCTGCATTTACTCTACAGAGTGTGGAAGGCATTAAATGTGCATTTAATGCGCGCACTGTAGCTTTTCCGTTCAAGACTCCTAGCCGTTGAAGGAATCTTTAGTTGGTTTACCGGCTTGGTGAAATTCTTCTAAGTGTCATGCCTTCTGGTGTCTTTAGCAGAGAGTTGATCAGAGAAGGTCTTGAGCACTTCTGTTGGAGAAATATCCAACAGAGAACCAGGAGGGTTTCTGTCCGAGTAAAGGCTAACAGAGACCCTGAGGTCTTCTGTTCTGGAGCAGAGAACCAAAGGTCTTCTGTTAAAACAAAGCCTTATCAAGGGTCCTCTGTCAGGGGGTCTTCTGTTCTGGAGGCCATCTGCTCTGGAGGCCTTCTGCTCGTCGATTATACTAAGGAACTTTACAAGGAAAATTCTAATACATGAAGTTTAAAGAGGGGTACTCTAAAGTCCTAATTAATATAGCATCATCAAAATCTATTTACAAATATTCCTTACAGTTCCGTTTTTGAAAGTCGAATCCTGGGCATATCACTTGCCTGTCATACCCTTGGGGCAGTGACGTGAAAAGCATTTCAGGGAAGGGTGTTTCATTTGCACACTGGTTGCAAATGGCCGGGGGCACTACATGCTACCGGTACCGAGAGGTGGCGCCTTCGGTATATGCGTCCTTGAGGGGTACGGCTTTAAAAACAACACTTGGTGTTTGTTTCGGTATACGGCCCCCGGTACTTGGTACCGAGGGGTCTTCTGTAAAAACATTTGGTGTTTTTCTTCATTTTTCATAGGTGATTGGGGTGTGTACCCTCGGCACTTGGTACCGAAGGGTCTTCAAAGGAAACACTTGGTGTTTTCTTCCGCTTGTTGAAAGTTGATAGGAGTGTATGCCCCCGGCACTGGCCGCCGAGGGGCCTTCTGTAAAAACATTTGGGGTTCTCTTTCTATGTCGTGGGTGATAGTATAGTCTACCCTCGGCACTTGGTGTCGAGGGTTCTTGCTTGTGATAAGGCCTTGGGTCAGGGGCTGATATGAGGGTTTGGCCGCTCGTAAGAGTCTCGTTCCATGTTCTTGGTGTCTTCAATATACCTTCATTCTTCAAAAAATTGGAGGCCTTGGGCCGCAAAATAATACAATCACCAGTTATGAGGGCTTGGCCGCTCTAGTGTTATTGATAAAATTTAACTAAATGGTGTACATTCTAGTGTCTAGGGACCTCAGTCCCATTGGGACGTTTTAGTTTGTAAGTTCCTGGTTTGATGATGGCAGCCACAATGTAGGGGCCTTCGAACTTTGGTGCCATTTTGCCACCCTCGGTTGGTTGGTTGGCTTCCCTTCTTCGGAGGACATAATCCCCCACTTGGAATTCCTGGGAGCGGACTTTGGCGTCAAAGTAACTATTCACTTGCCTTCGGTAATTATCCGCGCATATGAAGGCTTGCTCTCGGCGTTCTGAAATAAGGTGAAGGTCTAGGGCCATATTGGCGTCGTTGACCTCGGGATCATATTGCGTGACCCTTCGGGTCGGAAGAGTTACTTCAGTGGGGGCCTTAGCTTCAAATCTGTAGCAAAGGGAGAAGGGGGTCTCGCCTGTTGCTCGCCGAGGGGTGGTGCGGTAGGCCCATAAGATGTTGTGGAGCTCTTCTACCCAACCACCCCCTTCGGCCTCCAGCTTCTTCTTTAGGCCCTCGAGCAAGGTCCGGTTGGCGTTTTCCACTTGACCGTTGCCTTGAGGGTAGGTAACGGATGAGAAGGTGTGTTAGTCCCTGTTTCTGTAACAGCAATGAATAACGATCTAACAACGAAGATTAAACGTAAGGATGAACACAGAATGAATCAACGTAAAACCTTCTTTGATAAACCGTGAACTCATACAACAGAAAGATATGCGCGTAAGGCTATGAAGAATAAGTACGACGTTAACCTATTCCTAAACCTCGGCTCCCTTTTTATAGGCGAGGTTTAGGTTAGGCGTACCAGGCTTTTAGCCTGTTTTTATGGGCCTAACACTTGGCCTGATTTCTATCTAAATCATGCACTAATTAAATACAAGGATTAAATATAAAGCTAATCTATGACCAACTTGATTCACAATTAAATATCTCCAACAATCTCCCCCTTTGTGATCAAGTGCCATTCTCTTATTGCTTCTGAGATTTGAAGTAGTGCTTCCTCATACCATGTGCATGTTCATATTGCCTCAGCACATTTCTCTTTTCGAGGCGATCGTCAATGGCCTTTAAAATTGTTTCTACTGTAGAGTGTTCCTTTTGAACATAAGAAGATGCCTCTTGAAGATTTTCCTCTAGCTTTGCCTTCATCTTTAGAATCTGTTCTTTGATTATCTTCAGTGTTCCGTCACAGTACTTCTCAATTTCACTGACTACCATCAGACGCTTTTCGTTCTTGTGGTTCAGATAGGTGACTGCTGGCGGTGTGAAGAAGATGTGGTAGGCTGGGAAATCTTCAAGTTCTGGACCATACAGTCTTGGCTTTGTCAGATTTGTCTTTTTCAGATTGCACTCAATAGCCATCTGCAGGTCATGTGAAGAGTGTACTCGGATCTGTCTAAGCATGAATCTCTTGATAGCTGCGAGGCCTTCGCTGTATATTATGCTCTGCCTGACTGGAAGGTATCTGTAGGCCATGAACATTTGGTAGATGTCATCCGGTTTCAGCATGATGAAGTCATTCTCTTGGCAAGTGAATTCGCTCCCATCGGTGCGTTGAAATCTGTAAGTGTAGAATGTTACTCCATGATA